TTCGTGACCTCACCATTATAAGTCAATGGGGAAGAATGAAAACTGCTATTCTGGCGCCGGGAACGATCTCCAACTATCTCAAGCACACAAAATCGTGATTTGATGCACTCCTTGCAAGGTTAGATGCGTCACTTTTGCAATGTTGACCTTGCGTGACGTCATTTACGACGTCATGAAGGTCATATTAGTTTTTCGTCAATAACTCTTGATTAAATTGAGCTAGCGAGTCGGGAAAGCCACCAATGGACTCAAGAAGACCTGCCGAATCGAATGATATGCGACATGACCTCTTTTGACCAACTTCGTGACCTGGGGGTGCTGACCTGACCTTGACCTGAGGTCAACACCCCAAGTTGACCTGACCCGGACAAAAAATATATCATTCGACGCGCCTGAGCGAGGCGAACACGGTGCTGCCAAAATCGCGGCTCTGCGGCCGTTTTTTGCGAAGTTATTCACCAAAAACTGAACCGTACCTTGGGGGACTTGACCTGACCTCAGAGGTCACCGGTTGATCTCGGACCTTAAAATCGGGTGGGTACCAATCTCTGCGTCTCGTAACGGCGCACACGCTCGTTTTTTCCGCGACACGCTAGCTCCACCAGGGGCGAAACGGCGAGGGGGGTCGTACCCGCCCCCCTCGGCCGGCGCGTATGTAGAAAACCAATAGGTCCGGCGAGGGTTAACCCTAGTATCACATGCCGTGCAGACGGGTGGACGGGGTAGACGAGGCACCGTGTCATGGGTGAAGGAATCACCACTGGAGAGATCAACTCTGGTCAGGTAGGGGAGGGTAGCAGTGGGGTAAGCGATTTGTAGGTGAAAAACGACAGGCAAAGCAGAGCATTATGAAAGTGCGACTGGAGAGTGGATACAAATGAAGCGATAAATGCACAAGCTTAACGTCTTCCTTCAGAAAGGCTCCAGCGACGTCAAATTGGTACAATCTGTTATTCGTTCTTCGGTGCTAGGCACGTGGTACTTTCACTCAATATACCCTGCGTGGTACTTACCTCAGGGAACGGGGCTGCATTTGACAAGGAGGAGAAATCCGAGTTAGTAGGTGAATGTGATATGCGGACTGTCGCCAAACTATTAGTGGATTATCATTAAGAGCTTCAGGCCAAGCTTTTCGCTCCAGGCCAAGCACCATTCCACTCTGGGGGCCCGCCGCCACTCACAAAGTAAGCGAAAGCAACAGCTTGCAGCTTGCAGTCACCCAAGCTTGCGGAATAACTCACAGGCCGGAAAACCAGTAGAAACTAGAACAAGTCTGAACGCTTATCCAGCTAGCCCACCAAAAAGCCACCCGATCACAGCTTATCTCTCCACGCTAGGTACCTACAACCATTGCCTGCCGCTACCATAGACCAGCTCCCAGGATCAGGTCAGGACGGCTCAGGTCAGGTCACCCCAGCCCAGTCAGAGACCACTTACATGGGTGCCGACGTGACAGCGTGGTGCAGCTCCACAAACGCCTCGCCCGCACGGCGGTACCTGCCGGACAGCGACAGTGGCGCCATTGGACGGCCAGAAACTCAACTAATCGGCGACAGTGCCGCCGTCGGACGGCCAGAAACTGAACTAAAGAGCGACAGTAGCTGGCGCCGCCGGACGGCTCGAAAGTTCTACTAAACGGCGCCGCGGCGTGTACCTCTCCGGAAGAGGAGTGAGGAACGGGCCGGGGCGGAGGACGTTCAATGTGCAGAGTTCAGCGACAAGGCAGGTCCTGTTCTTTATCCACCACCGCAATCTTAACCCGATGAGTCGGTGAGAGCATGCCGCAACAGCTCAGCCGCCAGCCCTCTGTACACGAACACAGGCAAAAAGAATGGTGATCACCACCAACCATTAAAATAGTTGTAGATATAAAACTTTATCGGAATTCACTGGGATTGTATTGCGTATGCAAGTCCAAATATTTCGGCCAATATTGTTTGGCCTTGGTCACTGGACAACTAAAATAACCCTATAAGTATAGCTCACATTGCAGCGATACCCAAAATTCTAAATTAAATTCACAGACAAAAAATTCAAATCCCCGCGCGCTATCAACCATGTAGGAGATTCCAAGTTAAGAATATCTAGATACACTCACTATTTCCTATCAAAGTATGCTGTAAATTTAACTATAAAATACATACAAACACACAGACAAGAAGTTATACACAGAACACAATCGGCGTCATTAGTTTTTAATTCAGTCCACTCATACTAAAGAGATGAGAGGAACGAATCTCATCTTGCGTTTTTTAGAGGCAAATCCCAAATTGGGCTCAGTGCAAATTTTCCAACACCTCTGTTCATATCTGGATCCTTCTCTTTTATTTCGATGGCCTCGCGCACTGTCCTCTTCCTCCAATCACTGACATAGGCTACTGTTCTTGCCTCCAAAGGGCGCATCTGACCAGAACACTCACTTGCGTGTCGTGCCGGTGCCGATTTCAATCTGCGTCCGTGTTGGATGTCTTGGGCGTGTTCATTCATTCTCACTGACTTAGGCCTTCCTGTCTCCCCTATGTACACATCTCCACATTCACATTCCACCTCGTAAACGACGCCTTTTCTCATCTCCTTTGGGGTTGTATCCTTTAGGTGAACCAGAGTGTTCCTTAGGTTTCTTGACGAGTGTCCTACGACAATGTTGTGGGCACGCAAAAATCGTGATATGGGCTCACTGACCCCTTTCACATATGGGATGGAGACATACCGTGGACGGCTAGGGCGCGGCTGACGTGGCCCGTCGGAGAACGGCTGGACGATCACTGGACTGCCACCGGAGGAAGACGTAGAACCAACAGGATCGCCGTTAGAGGACGTTCGTGCAGTGGCTGGACCACCGTCGGAGGACGCTTGTGCCGTGACCGGGTCGACACCGGAGGACGCTCGTGCAGTGACCGAATCACCGTCGGAAGACGCTCGTGCAGTGACCGGGTCGCCACCGCCAGAGGATGCAGGTGGTGCCGAAACTGGATCATCGCCGGAAGATGCAGGTGTCGAGAGTGGATCTCCGCCGCCGGAGGGACCAGGTGCCGAGGATGGACCGCCGCTGCCGGAGGGTACAGATGCTGAGGGTGGATCTCCGCCGCCAGAGGGTGCAGGTGTCGGGAGTGTATCTCCGCCGCCAGAGGATGCAGTTGCCGAGGGTTGACCGCCGCCGCCGGAGGATGCAGTTGCCGAAGGTGGACCGTCGCCAGAGGGTGCAGGAGCAGTGGGTGAACCGCCGCCAGAGGGTGCAAGTGCCGAGGGTGGACCGCCGCCGCCGGAGGGTGCATGTGCAGAGAGTGGATCGCCGCTAGAGGGGGCAGGAGCAGTGGCTAGCTCGCTCCTGCCACTGCTCCTGCCCCCTCTAGCGGCGATCCACTCTCTGCACATGCACCCTCCGGCGGCGGCGGTCCACCCTCGGCACTTGCACCCTCTGGCGGCGGTTCACCCACTGCTCCTGCACCCTCTGGCGACGGTCCACCTTCGGCAACTGCATCCTCCGGCGGCGGCGGTCAACCCTCGGCAACTGCATCCTCTGGCGGCGGAGATACACTCCCGACACCTGCACCCTCTGGCGGCGGAGATCCACCCTCAGCATCTGTACCCTCCGGCAGCGGCGGTCCATCCTCGGCACCTGGTCCCTCCGGCGGCGGAGATCCACTCTCGACACCTGCATCTTCCGGCGATGATCCAGTTTCGGCACCACCTGCATCCTCTGGCGGTGGCGACCCGGTCACTGCACGAGCGTCTTCCGACGGTGATTCGGTCACTGCACGAGCGTCCTCCGGTGTCGACCCGGTCACGGCACAAGCGTCCTCCGACGGTGGTCCAGCCACTGCACGAACGTCCTCTAACGGCGATCCTGTTGGTTCTACGTCTTCCTCCGGTGGCAGTCCAGTGATCGTCCAGCCGTTCTCCGACGGGCCACGTCAGCCGCGCCCTAGCCGTCCACGGTATGTCTCCATCCCATATGTGAAAGGGGTCAGTGAGCCCATATCACGATTTTTGCGTGCCCACAACATTGTCGTAGGACACTCGTCAAGAAACCTAAGGAACACTCTGGTTCACCTAAAGGATACAACCCCAAAGGAGATGAGAAAAGGCGTCGTTTACGAGGTGGAATGTGAATGTGGAGATGTGTACATAGGGGAGACAGGAAGGCCTAAGTCAGTGAGAATGAATGAACACGCCCAAGACATCCAACACGGACGCAGATTGAAATCGGCACCGGCACGACACGCAAGTGAGTGTTCTGGTCAGATGCGCCCTTTGGAGGCAAGAACAGTAGCCTATGTCAGTGATTGGAGGAAGAGGACAGTGCGCGAGGCCATCGAAATAAAAGAGAAGGATCCAGATATGAACAGAGGTGTTGGAAAATTTGCACTGAGCCCAATTTGGGATTTGCCTCTAAAAAACGCAAGATGAGATTCGTTCCTCTCATCTCTTTAGTATGAGTGGACTGAATTAAAAACTAATGACGCCGATTGTGTTCTGTGTATAACTTCTTGTCTGTGTGTTTGTATGTATTTTATAGTTAAATTTACAGCATACTTTGATAGGAAATAGTGAGTGTATCTAGATATTCTTAACTTGGAATCTCCTACATGGTTGATAGCGCGCGGGGATTTGAATTTTTTGTCTGTGAATTTAATTTAGAATTTTGGGTATCGCTGCAATGTGAGCTATACTTATAGGGTTATTTTAGTTGTCCAGTGACCAAGGCCAAACAATATTGGCCGAAATATTTGGACTTGCATACGCAATACAATCCCAGTGAATTCCGATAAAGTTTTATATCTACAAACATAAACCTGGGAAAAATATGACTCTAAAACAGCACATAAAATAGTTGTCTCACAACGTAATTACTACAAACTTCGTACAGAATCACATAACCGAACAGTTAGAATGTATCGACAAGCCCTTCAGAACAACACCCCTCTGTATCGAAAGGTTGCATGTGCCGAGTCCCTCTCTGCCCCCTCCCCTCCCTCTGAGCTCCCCGATCCACTCACGCCTGTGACTGCCGGACGCTCTGCAGGCTCTGGTTGACATCCTGTGTGAACTCGGTCCACACGGTGATGCCCAGCTTCTGCTTCAGCACCTGGGCCTCGCGCATCTTGGCCTGCAGGGTCTCCCGCATCAACAGAATGTCCTCCTCCAACTGCAGGGCGAGGGTGCCGCGTCAGACGTACAAGGAGAGATGCACCAGGACCGACAGAGAAACCCACCTACATAAGCGGAAGTGACAAACGCAGGCTTCACGAGCAACTGATGAGGAAACTGAAGCAGAGGAGACTGAGAGCATTGAGAGACGAAGGGTCCATTGGCTCCACATCAGGCTGAAGGCAAAACCAAATGAAAGACTTAGCCAATCAAGTGACATTCCATGAAAATTTACAGTAGACTTAAATAATATAATATACAAATTAAACAGAAAAAGACGCAAAAGTAAATTATGATGTTATTCCAGCACAATAGCATAGCAGCCGCAGCCGGCACTGACAGGGGAGGTTGCAATTGCAAGGGATCAGTAAAAACACATCCACTCCCCGAAACCTTCCGCCGCGGCTCCCGCTCCTCAGGAGTCAGGAGTCGGAGGGGACTGTCTCACCCTGGCCAGCTCCTCCTTCCACTGCTGCCGCTGCTGCTCCTGCTCCTCAGGAGTGAGTCCTGAGAAGGCGTCCACCACGCCCGAGTCAGCCGACGGAGACAGACTGGGCATCTCTGAGCCTGGAAAACAGAATGGGCATCTCAGAGCCTGGAGAACAGAATGGGCATCTCAGAGCCTGGAAAACAGAATGGGGATATCAGAGCCTGGAGACAGGAGGAAAGAATGGAGACATCAGAGCCAGGAGACGGAAGACAATATGCATCTCACAGTCTGGGAAGTGGAAACAGCGGGCAGACTGGGCATCTCAGAGCCTGGAGACGGGAAAAATATGCATCACACTGTCTGGAAACAGGGGATAGACGGGGCATCTCAGAGCCTGGAGACGGGGGACAGAATGGGCATCTCAGAGCCGGGAAACAGGACAGACTGGGCATCTCAGAGCCTGGAAAAGGGACAGCATGGGGATATCAGAGCCTGGAGATAGGGGGACAGAATAGTCATATCAGAGCGTGGAAAAGGGACAGAACCGAGAGTTCAGAGCCTGGAAACCGGACAGAATCGGTATTTCTGAGCCGACAGGCTGAACATTTCAGAGCCTGGAAATAGGGGGCAGACTGGGGATATCAGAGCCTGGAAACGGGGGACAGGGGTACAGACTGGACATCTTAGAGCCTGGAAGCAAGACAAACACTGGGCATTTCAGAGCCTAGCAACAGGAGACAGAATGAAGAGCCTGGAAACGGACAGAGTGGGCATTATAGCCAAGGGACGGACTGGGCTCTCGAATCCTGGAAGTAACGGTCGGGGCAAGGACGGACTATCAGCTCCCCTCCCCCCACCGCTGGCGGGGGAATAGAGTCATCCACTGATCAGACAAGACAGCTAACAACGAGCAACACCTCCTCTCCCGAGTCCCAACTCACGTAAGTCATTGTCCATATTTTTACTACCCACCACCTTTCAATAAATCAATGGAAGCTGATTGCTGAAATGACCAACTGTGTAAACTGGTGATCCTTACCACATGGCAGGCAGCACTACTGAGAACAAGAGCACAAACTGGAGTTTCAACTTAAACCGGAACTTTCCTCTGACTATGACAGGGTGAAAGATTGACTGAGCCTCATAGGAAACAGTGAGATACTGACGGCGATCCTAACGGTCGAGAGACCTCACCCATCTGATGAATAAATGCATCATCTCCACACCTACTATAGATAAGTATGTATTATGTAGTTACACCACTTCCCGCCAAGTTAGCGTCTACTATATGACAGCTCACCTCAACGTGCGGAGGAGAGAAATTATGAAAATAACATTATCTACCGACGCAATTACCTGCAAAACCTGGATGTGTATCAGGTTATGGGACGCTCATTTCCATATGCACGATCTATTATCCCTCGCCGGCCGAGGGGGGGGGGGCGGGTGCCGCCCCCCCCCCCCATAGGGTTTTTTCGCGATAGCTCCGAACACGCTGGCGATAGAGAGCTGAAACTTGGCATACCTGACCTTTGATCCAAGCCGCATCTTTTGACACCAACCGCATTTTTGGGTCAGGTCAGGTCACTGACCTATGACGTCATAAGTGAACCTCTGCACGGTCTTCAGATGTCGCAACTTCGCAACGCCCTCACTGCCAGAGGAAATGTCACAGGGAAATGAAACTTGCAGGATCTAGTATCCATTATGAGTCTCACAACTTGTATATCTCGGATTTTTCCTAAAGGTCATATGAGGTCAGGTCATTTTCGTGACCTCACCATTATAAGTCAATGGGGAAAAATTCAAACTGCTATTCTGGCGCCGGGAACGATCTCCAACTATCCCAAGCACACAGAATCGTGATTTGATGCACTCCTTGCAAGGTTAGATGCGTCACTTTTGCAATGTTGACCTTCCGTGACGTCATTTATGACGTCATCAAGGTCATATTAGTTTTTCGTCAATAACTCCCGATCAAATTGAGCTAGCGAGTCGGGAAAGCCACCAATGGACTCAGGAAGACCTGCCGAATCGAATGATATGCGACATGACCTCTTTCGACCAGCTTCGTGACCTGGGGGTGCTGACCTGACCTTGACCTGAGGTCAACACCCCAAGTTGACCTGACCCGGACAAAAAGTATATCATTCGACGCGCCTGATCAAGGCGAACACGATGCTGCCAAAATCGCGGCTCTGCGGCCGTTTTTTGCGAAGTTATTCACCAAAAAATGAACCGTACCCTGGGGCACTTGACCTGACCTCAGAGGTCACCGGTTGACCTAGGACCTTAAAATCGGGTACCAATCTCTGCGTCTCGTAACGGCGCACACGCTCGTTTTTTCCGCGACGCGCTAGCTCCACCAGGGGCGAAACGGCGAGGGGGGGGGTCGTACCCGCCCCCCCCCCTCGGCCGGCGCGTATGTAGAAAACCAATAGGTCCGGCGAGGGTTATTGGACTTTCCAGAGATGATGGAAATTGAAAATCATATGACGTCTGCCAGGTCAATGGGTCCATCCAAATTCCTCTCCAACAGCTTGGCGCCCTTGCCAGTCCGACCATAAAATTAGTCTCCAAGCTGTCACGGCTCTGACGTCAGACACGCCAGATACAATTCCGTCCAGCCGTGGCACCGGCCGACCTGTTAAGGGCCGTATCGATAGACCAGTCTATAAAGGACAGAGACGACTCTACAGACTGTCCTACAATCTGTCGGTGCCCGTTCTACAGACCAGTTCATGAGGGACAGTGACGACTCTACAGACTGTCCTACAGTCTGTCGGTGCCCGTTCTACAGACCAGTATGTGACGGACAGTGACGACTCTACCGACTGGCATTTGACAGTATGGCGGTATCTGCTCTATAATCAGTGTACGATGGGCAGTGACGACTACAGAGGATAGTCTGTGGCGGAAGTTGACGTCTCCACAGATCGGCCTCTGACGAGTGGTGACGTCTCGCAGCTGTGGTATCCGCCAGCTGTTCACCTCTACACCAGAAACCTGCACACTGCACTGAGTGCACAGTACCTAGGGGAGAGTGGGGCAAAGCGGCCACCCGGGGCAAAGCGGCCACCCATCGTTTTAGCCCTTCATAGCTGGCGTCAGTTCCAATTTATGGTTTCCAATTATACTTCTCTTCACGGTCGTTCGAATGAGCCAGACCGGGGTTTCAGGCCCATCACCATTGTTCTGTGAAACACGGAAAAGCATTTTTTGCCAGGTTACCAACTATGTTTACAATTTTTAAATGTTATGTTATTCCATAACCGTTTGGAATTTTTATAAGCGTTCTTGTCCATTCATTGCATGGTTATCGTACATGTATTCTACCAATTTTAATGTTTTTTACCCCACTAATAGCTAAGCTGGAATATTTTTGTCTCGGACGTTATGCGCCGGGCAAAGTGGCCGGGGCAAAGTGGCCAACCCCCAATTGGCCATAAGTTGCTTCCATCTGGATAAAAAAACATTATTTATATTCAAATGTGTCGTCATGCATTCATCTTGGCCACTTTTCAGTTGCATGAGTTACCAAATAATGCAATTAAATGTTTATTTTCATGAAAATCCTTCCTTTGTTTACCTACAGGTGGAATATGATAAAGTAAGCATCCATCCTCGCTTAACCTTGTCACCATCAAATACCCAAGTCGTACACGAGGCAACTGTTTTATTTCTCATATCGGGACTTCAGAAGACGCCGGTGGCCGCTTTGCCCCAGGGTATGGGGCAAAGTGGCCAATATGCATAGGTTTAAAGTTTTGTCAATATCTTTCATATGTAAACGCCTTTGGAAATAAAACGCAGTTGAAATAAAAGGCAACTTACTAGGGATCACATTGGTATAGAAAGAATCTTTCCAAGTTTAAAAATCAAGCGTTGGCATCGTGAGAAGCCTTAGGGTGGCCGCTTTGCCCCACTCTCCCCTACTGCACAATGTCATATAACCTTATCGGAGGCAAACACCTTTACGCAGACAAAAGAGACGCTACAAATTCCAGCGGTTGAAATAGAGACAGCCGCCGTAGCCGAGAGCGGAAGGCACGCCTGGTATCGTGCCACCATAGTCAGCCTGCGTGTGCCGTCACGACGCCGCTAGTTTCCTTCCTGTGCGTGACTGCCCCCTCCCCCCCCCCCTCCCCGGAGTTACCGCCGTAGCTCTGCCGAGCGTCGACGTCACGGAGCACGTTAACTTTCCTCCGTAACAAGGCTCAGCGGTAACCTTCACGGTCGAACAAGTCGCCTAAATTCGCTTCCAATGTCTTTTGAACTCTGTAGTTGTACAACTCGGCCTCACGTCCGACGGCGTTCCTGAATGTTCAGTGTTCACCTCCCGGCTAGCTGTGAGGCCATGGCTATTCAAAGTGGCGCTTGGGCGACGTGTCAAATCCACCCATTATGTCAAATCATTCCGACTAAATTGATTGAAAGATGGCATTCAACCGAGCAGCATGGCATTGGGCATAGTTTGGATAGAGATAAACTGACTAGTGGGAGGAAAAGCTGATGGTGCAATTAGCGGGCGATAGCGCTTAACCGGAGGAAGGGATAATTTACCGCACGGTTCATGTTAGGCAAAATGAGAGTCCAGTTTGATGAATGGAACGCTAGGTTTACCGTGCAGTCATATGACACAGATTGTTTAACCGCCGCAATGTTTGGTTTGCAGCTCAGCGAATGGAGCAGACGTGTTCGCTGAATTAGGAAGGGCGTGTTAGCTGTATCGGGACAGACGTGTTCGCTGTACTGTACCCACAGCAGGAGAGTGACGGGATGACCGGACATTCAGTCAGTGGGAGTGATGACGGGAAGCCATTCGTTCGGCGAGCTCCATCCGGTCGGTTGGCAGAGCCAGTCACGCTCAGTGATCGGGGTAATGGTACTGCGGCGAGCCGCCCACCCGTCGGATCATCACCGAGCGGACCACAGTAGGCACTGGCAGATCAGATCAAACTCGACCACACAGACCTATCGAGCAACACGGACCAGATCAGACCAGATTCGACGGCGCCATCGGATCACACAGGCCGCACTGAACTACTCGTATACGTAAAGGGTAAGACCAGGCAGCTAAGAATGAGGGCCGGTACAACACGGTAGACTCGCTCCCCAGTGCTAGTTACTTTACGTTAGGACAGCAGAGCACATCACTAAGCCGAACGGGCGTCCGACTGTTTTCCCATCAACTCTATACTGAACAACAGGCACAGCTGCCAGCTGGGGTCGAGTCCAGACTCGAGATCTGGCCGATACAAAGGTGTGAATGTTATTGCATCAACACGACCATGACAAAAGGGAGGTATGTGCGAATGAAGCTTTCAGAAAAAGAGGGAAAGTGGCTTACTTTGCGGAAGGAAGGAGCATAAGCGACCGCTATAGGATACAGGTAATCCTAATGATGTGAGTCACATAGTGCTGTAGAAAAACATTTACTAACAGGTAAAGCAAACGACTCTGTTCGACACCTAATCTCCATGCCGACCTGCATAGATGACCAGATGCTTAAGCATTGAACTTACAGGAAAAATGCCATGAATTGAAACCGATCGAATAAAAGAATGAATGAATGAAAGAATGAATGAATGAATGAATGAATGAATGGGGAGAAATTAAATTAGATTGCGTATCAGAGGGGGCATAAACGTTCACTCTGTCAGCGGCCAGCGCTACCATTACGACTGGTATAACTATTCTATTTTATCGGCTATCTGGATCGATCATCTAGTTAATACTGGACACTGGACAAGTGGACAGGCTCCTGTAGATCAGTTGGCGGATGTTACGCCCCCGCGTCCCCTGTCAGTCGCCGTCACCTGTCACTGACATTATCCCCGGGCACTCCCCAGGCTTTATACCGACGACCTATCGTCTGTGCCGACTACCTACCACCCCCTGGGGCCCGAAGGGTGATCAGTGAGACAACAACCCCCCCCCCCCCTGCCGCCCACCGAGTACACACCGTCCTCAAAGCGCCAGTCAGGATCATGCAGCGGCAGTGCCACATCCGGGGGTCGGGTGGGACCAGAGGCGGCTGCTGACCCGCCGGCCGGCAGGCCCGACAGACACAGGTCGGCCACGGGGTCCTCGTGGTACTCGTCTTCCGCCGAGCTGCGCCGAGGCACTGCTGGCCACGCGGTACTGCTGCTCATACCGACGGGAAGTCCTCCGACGAGCCGGTCACAACGAGATACGACAGTCGGCGGTCGGTCGCGGCAGGTTACCAAAGGTCACCGTATAGTCACCGGGGGTCACCGGCCGACCGCCGGGGGTCGACAATCGTCCCTCCGGCGGCCTGCTTCTCAAGCTCTCCGCAAGTGATAATGCCGCCGTCCCCCAAGGGACTTCGCCCGACGCACACACAGAAACACAGGGGCGAATCAGGCCGGCCAACACCTTGCCGAAATTCCCACTACACACAGGCACACCACTGTATGGCACCACACAAGCAGTCACTGCCACAGCAGCGGTCAGCGTGGCAGCAGAGTTCCACAACTGGAAGGCCACGCCAGCACAACCGCCCAGCCACTCCTGCTTCAACAGCTGGACACCGTCGCCGTCCAACACCGGTCACGTGACGGGGGCTAGAGCACCATTGCGCCGTCACGTGACCTGTCGTGCGCCGCCGCCAGCGCCGCCATCGGCCAGGTGGGGAGTTAGGCGCGCAGGTAACGGTAGCGGCCGAGCCCCGGGAGAAAGTCTCCACCGCTCACGCCACGGCTCAGGGGCCGTGAACGGCGGCCAGGGAGCCGATTGGAACGGGCGGAGGGCCGCATCGGCCGGGACGAGACACCAGCCGGCCGTGACAGCCGTCAGCTGAGTGCACGTCGGGCCGTGACAGCCGACGGACAGTCGAAAGACAGGCTGATAGACGAACGGGTCGAGCCCCGACAGGGACTGGCGGACGGATCAGAAGACATGAGATAGCTGACAAACGTAGAGTACGGGGCCGATACGTCGCTACAACGCTATCGGTCCCACTACTCCTGCGTAGTACGCAACACATTTCCTGCATTACATTGGCCTCTATCTCTCCGATAGCGTATCGGCATTGGGGCTCAACCCCATTGCGACATACATCACCAGCCTTCACACTCTACAGCACAGCCCAGCCCGTCTCTGTAATAGCGACCGATGACGTGGCAAATAATTATGCTTGGATCTCCCTACCCAATGTCCAAAGCTCATGGTAAAAACGGTATATACGAGTAGGGCCTTGGCAGATACATATTTTGCGCTCTCCCCATCCTTCCAACGTCTCACTAGCCAAGCAGGAAGTTCCCAGCCACGACCGCCGAGCCGGAGACATTCCGACGGAGCGACGTGTCACGACGGACCGGCTGAGCCGGGGTCGGGACCGGGCTGGACCGGCACGGCGGGGGGTGGAGCCCAGACAGGTCCAGACGGGCCGGACTGACCGAGCGCGGTCCGGCTCACTCGTCAGGCGGCAACGGACCATGCACCGGGTCGTGAACGGGCCAGACGGCCGGCCAGCGCCACGCCCCCCCCCCCCCCCCCCCGGCTGTTTGGCTCTGGGGAATGCTGCGACAGTAGGGCAGAGGGTAACAATGATGGGTAAATTGAGTATGGCCAGATCAACAACGCAGCAATGCAGGTCACTCAGAGTCAGGACTCAGGAGTCAGGGTTCGATAAGCTTGTGTCAAAAATTCGAGGCACGTAGGAAAGGACAATAGCGAGTCCAAAGGGGGACTAGTTTATCGTTTGGGATTAGCTGAGGGATTTGGTGGATGTTCATCCCATCTAGTAACCGAGCACAGTGAGCAGTAGGGTGCATCAAACGCCCCGATGTCTTCAAATCGATCTGTCTGTTGATTCAATTTGTTCCACTAGTAGCACAATGACGCTGTGCAAAATTAAAATTATATCGGATGCCATCTAGGGGGTCCGCATCAGCTATGAACAATGAACATGCTTCATCACTTAACTTGGGTTTCATCACTTGGGGTTTCATGCAGCGTTTAGATGCATCCACCAACGCGATCATCAATGTCCTGGTTGACAGTGACATACGCCGGCGATCACCGCTAAGAGCGGCATGGAATGATGCTCTGGGAGTGCCATGAATCGTCATGTTATGTAGCATTGGACTAAGTGTCTGTAAATACAAAGTTCTCTCTCTCTCTCTCTCTCTCTCTCTCTCTCTCTCTCTCTCTCTCTCTCTCTCTCTCTCTCTCTCTCTCTCTCTCTCTCTCTCTCTCTCTCTCTCTCTCTCTCTCTCTCTCTCTCTCTCTCTCTCTCTCTCTCTCTCTCTCTCTCTCTCTCTCTCTCTCTCTCTCTCTCTCTCTCTCTCTCTCTCTCTCTCTCTCTCTCTCTCTCTCTCTCTCTCTCTCTCTCTCTCTCTCTCTCTCTCTCTCTCTCTCTCTCTCTCTCTCTCTCTCTCTCTCTCTCTCTCTCTCTCTCTCTCTCTCTCTCTCTCTCTCTCTCTCTCTCTCTCTCTCTCTCTCTCTCTCTCTCTCTCTCTCTCTCTCTCTCTCTCTCTCTCTCTCTCTCTCTCTCTCTCTCTCTCTCTCTCTCTCTCTCTCTCTCTCCTCTCTCTCTCTCTCTCTCTCTCTCTCTCTCTCTCTCTCTCTCTCTCTCTCTCTCTCTCTCTCTCTCTCTCTCTCTCTCTCTCTCTCTCTCTCTCTCTCTCCTCTCTCTCTCTCTCTCTCTCTCTCTCTCTCTCTCTCTCTCTCTCTCTCTCTCTCTCTCTCTCTCTCTCTCTCTCTCTCTCTCTCTCTCTCTCTCTCTCTCTCTCTCTCTCTCTCTCTCTCTCTCTCTCTCTCTCTCTCTCTCTCTCTCTCTCTCTCTCTCTCTCTCTCTCTCTCTCTCTCTCTCTCTCTCTCTCTCTCTCTCTCTCTCTCTCTCTCTCTCTCTCTCTCTCTCTCTCTCTCTCTCTCTCTCTCTCTCTCTCTCTCTCTCTCTCTCTCTCTCTCTCTCTCTCTCTCTCTCTCTCTCTCTCTCTCTCTCTCTCTCTCTCTCTCCTTCCCCGATGGAGGGGGTTGTTGCGACCACTGCTGTTTTTGTCGCGATCGGTCGAAATACGTCCGGTTTAACTTGGCTTAGCTGACCTTTGATACTTAAGCCTGAACATTTGGCATTTGCTGCATTTTGATATCAGGTCAGGTCAGTGACCTATGACGTCATATGCGAACCTCTCGATGTTCTAAAAATGCTGTATAGATTCGCAGCGCTCTCAGAGTCGGGGCATCTTTCGCAGGGAGACGAAACTTAGGAAATCACAAGCTTTCAAATTTTTACAGCTTTTTTCCTCTGATTTTCTTTTCCGTAAAGGTCGCCTGAGGTCAGTTCAGTCACGTGACACCTCCATTATGCCCCATAGGTAGTGATACAGAAACTGCTCACTGAGCAGTTTCTGTATTGTTTTTTCTGTATCTGTTTTGGCGCTAACTGAGCAGTGCTCAGTTAGCGCCAAATATGATCCAAATATGTTTCAGGAATTGAAATTTATTTTTGTGCCCCGTTTTCGTGGACTGATGCCTGGTCTGTATTCAACTTGGGCCCTATATAACGTCCTTTGACATCACTAAGAGTATTTGAGATCATCGCGATTTTTCCTCAATAAGCCCAAATTAAGCACGAAAATAATAACTATAGATAGTTTCAGCTTAGCCAACTGATACGCATTACCTATATTTAGGAAGTAGGGCTTTTGCTGGGAGGGAAGTCTGGAACAAATCGCTTCGTTAAGTTCCAATGATTAACTTGGGTTTTCTTGGGTTAGAGCGGTTCTTGCTTATTTTATGGTTTTGTGATTCAACGACATGACTTCGATGCTTCGACTCTGGGCTCGCAGAAGACACACACGATGATGAGCTCGCCGATATGAAGCCTGAAATTCCTAGTCGACCATGGCAGCGTCAAAACCAAATGAAGTTACTTTGTCACGCATGCAGTCCTGACAAAACCGGTTTGAGACGAACTCATGTTGAGGTAAATGTTAACACCGCTATTATTGGCTTAGAGTGACTCGTGAGTATCTTTTTAGCAATCCGTGAATAATTCTCACGTAATTTGATAGCACGTCTTCGACGACAACAAGAGTAAGCCGCTCTTCCCGTCGGTAATTGTTCGGCGACCTCATGATGGACCAAGTCCCTGTGGAGCATCCCAAGTCTGGACTCTCATCCCTCGCAGACAGCTGTATCCGACGTTGTCAACGACCTTGCGGTTTCAGTAGCGACGACCAAACTTGATATCTTTGTTTTGTTGCCGCCACTTGCTCTATTGAATGTTGCCGAGGTTTGGGCGCGGTCTTGCCGGGGTGTGACTGGCGATGATCATTCTGACTCGGTTTTCATATATACCCCATTGACCCAAAACAATAGGTCACGACCACGTGAACGAAACCTCCGGAACCTCAGGTGACCGGAATGGAATATCTGAGACATGCCAGTTGCTACTTTCTGGAATTTCATCTCCTTGTGAAAGACCCTTCCCCGTGCGTCGACGAGTGGATGCAACGCTGAATGGTCGGCGCTATATATGCAGTTGTTGCACCGCGCTATATAGTTGTTGCACCAGATACATGGCCCAGAAAGACGAGAGAGAGCGCAGGCCTTTCAAAAAGCAGACGCACTGACACTGCAGTAGCGTCTGATGATAGGAGCATTGTCTAATGTCTACTCATCTCGTAAGCGTGACTACATTGAAACGTTTGAGCATTGAACACTTACGAAGTAGTTTTGTTGCCTTCGTAACATATTAATCGTAATATTTCGTAATATTTATTCGAAGCCTTCGTAATATTTCGAAACTGTCGGTGGTGATTTACACCTACTATGGATAGCTGGCAGGACTCCCACTGGTTGACCTGACCTGACCTGACCCGACCAAGCCTAAATGCATAGAGACATCATCTTTGATCAAAGCTGATCTGAAAATCGTAATCAGCACCCCGAAAAAACTACAACAAACTCAATTCACGAAGTTCTACCAGGTCCCGATTTTCCCGACTTTTGGGTCATTGACCTGACCTGGAAGGTCAACCAATGACCTAGGACCGTAGAAATTGATATCATCTGCTTCTTCTCGTTACGGGAAACACGCTAGTTTTTCCGTGAAGCTCTGGCTTAATCAGAGACCGAACAGCAAGAGGGTCCAGCTCCTGTACGTTAGACGCACACAAAACACCAATACGGGCGAGTGTCAAGACTCCTATAGGTGAAATCAGATACATTTCAGATTGATTTGGTGGGCAGTTTTAGGATAGCACTTGCAATGATTAGCGATTCTAAAAGATATTTTGACCTAAGAATAATTTTAAATAATTTGTAATTAAGCGCCATTAATGATCAAATTCATGAAGTTTCGTTAACTTTAGGGTCGATGCGGACCCCCTAGATGGCTTCAGAAATTCTTGAAATTTGGCATGGTTGATACATTTAGGATACGTAACAAATTAATTTTGTGACAGGGGGTTCGTAGAATTTTTTCGAAAAAGTGGGGCGTTTGATGCACCCTAGTGAGCAGACCACAAATACATCGACTCAAACGAAAGGTAACCACAATATCATACCCCCACTCCGCGTGCTACATGTCCTGCTAGGTCCGAACTTAGGCCGAGGCAGTACTGTAAATTCTGGACAATCTTTGTTCCATTATTTTGTATGGACTATACATAATCGAGGCGACAACGCACACCAGCCAGATTGTGTGCTCTGGACCTGACGGCCGACGGGTGACCAACACCGTTGTACGATCGGTAGAAAAACTAGAGATGAATGCCATGTCCACATAGCCAAACAACGACAAGGCGCGGTTCGCTGACTGCACCTCGCCTACACATAATGCAATCACTGCCGAGAGCCGATGACCAAAGGCCATCCCCATCAGTAGCGAATACACAGTAATACATTAGTTTGAATCCGGCTCATCTCCTAGCGCTGGTCGGCTTTGCAAACGG